CAGTTAAGGCACATTGTGTTTGTTTCATTCCAAATTCATTGTGGTGGTGTATAGAGCCAAACATGTTAGAACTGTGTCGATGTCCCAATATTTCTGGACCTGACTGTATATTGAAAGCAGGTGTTTCATAAAGTTGTTGTACAAAGATTCATTTTAATGCCTTTCTCTTATAATTCAGTAATTCTTAAATATGTATTGGATTATATATAACTTTCAGGAAGCTGAACGAATGTTTCAGGCAGTGGACAGTGAAACTGTACACCTTCCATATGAAAGAGGTGAAGTATTACAGATTCCCGTGAAAGCTCTAAAATACAGGTGTGATATGTACCTATTATTTTACACTTCATTTTATATAATAAGCTATTCCATTTAATTCTGAAGGGCACTTGTTTAATATAGAATTCATCTAGTTGAGAAAGAGGACCAAAGAAGACCACTTTATAAAGTAGCTGTGTGTATCCATAATGCATTACATATTACTTATTTACATGACCCTTTTGAACAGATCAGATGACTCCTTTCCAACCAGCTGGTGTCAGTGTGAAGAAGCTTCTTTGGTCAGTTCTGCCTTGTCTCTTATTGTGCATGGCTAATATGGAAGGCACTGAAGATACTAAACTGAGACTTCTACCATTTACTGAAAGCCTGAATGTTATTTTCACATGTCCAGATGGTGGTGGCTATGTGCTATGAAACTGGAAATGTTGTTATTCCCCAAATAACACACATGTTTATAATTTATAAAAATTAATCTTCCGTATATGATACAACTACTACATGGTTTCAACGTTGTTTTGGTATTTTTAGATTGAAGGCAATTTGATTATTTTTTTTTTTTGGAAGTATGACTATCCCTTCATTAAAAATTAATTCCAAATGAGTAACTGCTATTAGCCTGAAGGCTATAATGCTTATTCTTGCTTTCACTTTCTGCTGAAAACAATTTTAATTATGGATTATTTTCCTGCCCATGTTAGTAAAAATGTGTATCATGAACTGCTCATTGTTAGTTTGTATTTTTTTAAAATTTATATTTCAAATTTGTCACTGCCCATCTCACTGTGGAGTGACTCCATCCTTTCTTAATAGAAGTTGCTAAAATGATATTATACATTAACTGTATATGATTTCACTTGATTTTATCTGGAATACTAAAGCTCATAAAGCTCTAATCCTTAATCAATTAATTCAGGAACAATACCTCTGCCAGTATCACTGGAAATAAGATGGGGTGAAATTCTTAACTCACTTAAGAAACTTATTTTAGGAAGTATTCTCAGCTAATATCATTGATCATATCTTTAAGTTAGTTTTATAACAATATTTTTCATAATTTTCTTAAGGCAGTGGGGTTTCCCAATCCCAACCTTCACTGCCTGTAGTCATATTATATTGTGAATATCCTTACAAAATGGTTACCTTGGGATTGTGCCCATTCACAGAACGGCTGCCATCATTAGCGTGGCAAGTCACAAAGCACTGATTTATCAGAGGACATACTAGTAAAAATGCTTCCCATTGCCCCTTCTTTAAATTCCAGTTTACCTTTGTCTTTTTTGTTTTGAAGCTGGGGAAAAATGAATTCATTTAATTTATGATTGCATGGAGCCTGATGGACACAAAGGAAGGTGACTGCAGGTATATGGGTGTCCATGGGCCTATGATAATTCCAGGAAAAGATAGATGGTAGAGAAAATAGGCAACATAGATTCTTGCAAAACACTTTTCATGTGTTCCATTATAATATGCTTCAGATCCTTAGAAGTAACCTGTTTTCAAAATAGACTAATTTAGAACTAATACTTAATTGGAAAGTAAAATCATTTTAGCACTGAGATCCTTAGCTTACATGTAAGGAAAATAATGCAATATTTTCTAGTAGCTGTGTAAAAAGATAATCAAGGCTTAAAAATGTAAAGAGCATGAAACATAATTAATGGTATAACAAGGCATGTAGAACTAATCAGTGTGTGTTTATTATCTAGCGTTGACCCCTCTGTGGTAAACATATCAGATGAAATGGCCAAAACTGCACAGTGGAAGGCTCTTTCCATGAACACAGAGAATGCCAAAGTAGCAAGATCTAACTTGAGGTAGCCTATAATTACTCACACTTTCTGATTCTGCTTTTGCTTTGCGTGTTTAGATATGGAAATAGATGGATCTGATTGTACATTTATACCCTAAACACATACCAAACAGCTTATGTGAAGCACCTGTGATCCCCGCTTGGAATGATGATTGTAATGAAAAGAGGAATGTTATACCATAAACAAAACTGAAGTTCAGATATCCATAATAGTAAAAATAGTGCATTAAATGAGACAGACAGTGTGCTCTAGAATATTCTCAAATGATAGTGCATTGTGTTGCATGATAAATGTATTGGGAAATTGAATAATAATTTATTAATTGTGGAAAGAAAATAATCATTTGGATTAATATAAGCTCTTTACTTGAGAATAACATGTTTTCATTTACTATACATTAGGAACTCTGTTCCAAATTACATAAAGTAGAGGTGGGCAATTTTGTTTGTGTCCAGTGACTAGAGTTTTTTCACCATTTTTTTCAGCCTATAGAGATATAGAGCTATAGAGATTGATGTGATAATGTCACTGACAGGATGTGGCTGGTGAATGCCCCCCCCAGAAAAAAAAAGTAAAATAGGCATGTTAAATAGAGGTATACTGTACATATTTTGCATAATGTCTTTTGGAAAACTAAAAATTGTGCTGCCATATTTCTGGGATATGCTGGCAAATTTTAGAAGTATTCTTTGTGGAAGTTTCTTGGGTTACAAAGAAGAGTCTGGTGGTTGCCTATTCCTGATACAAAATATTCCAGTTGTCTTTCATAAAATTTAAATTTGTTTTAGTATTCTAATTTTAGTATTGCCCACTTGAGTGGATGCATTTTGAAGCTCACTGTAGAAATATATTGTTGGGCTGATGTATAATGTGAAAACCTCTTTTATCCTAACAGTTGTTAAGAATCCAGTTTTTGTTTCCCATCTGCTCACAACTCAACTTCATAATTTCGTTCCCACTTCTGTAGTGCAGCAGATTCAGTGAAACAGTGACTTTAGCTGATTTTTCAAATGACCTGTGAATTTGGCTATAACAGCCAACACAAACTATAGGGAGTCCTGAGTTTAGATATTGCAATGATCCATGCTTCTGTATTGTTCATAAACCCAATTTAGATAGCTGCTACTGGGTATTCTCAGCACAATCCTGTCTGTCTGTCTGTGTTGTACTGTTAGAATTTATAATTTTTAATTAAAAAAGGTAATCATGTATCTAGATCTTCATTTATAGGTTAAATCTTGCTTTATGCTCCTAGCAATATGTGTTAACTCGAGAATGTGGGCATATATTCTTAGACAAAAATATTTTGCATATAAAGTTATCTATATCAGTATCAGCCTGTATAGATATTGTATGTACATCTATATCAGTATTTATTATTAATACCTATTTCTTGGCTTATTTAACCATGTGAATTTTTCTTAACAGCCCTGAAAATGAAGCATGTGTGAAAATAGACATTGAAAATACATCTGAAACAAAGTATGTAGATGCTGAAACCTCATTATAGAGGTAAACGAGGGTATTATTTTATAGGATATATTGAAAAAGGGTGATTGCAAGGCTTCTTTTAAGTACTAGGTACTTATGTGAACAACAGTGAGATTTTCCAATAAGAAATGTCTATCACTCTGGAAATATTTATTTTAGTGGAATGTTTATTTCAATTTTTAAATAGGAAAATTAAAATTACTTTTTAGTTATCAGTAAGTCAGAGATTACCTTTAACTGTAAATTATTGGTTTGCATTGTATCTATGACTTTTTTATATAATTTATTGCAATACATATGTCCTGTTATCAGGCAGTTACTATTTGGGTTTTTGCAAATGTTATGCCAGTTTATAAGAACAAATCTTACATATGCAATTTAGTGAATTGCTGTATTTCAGCCTTCATTTCATATTATTTTATGGATGATTAACTGTATTTGTGTGTGAATTATTTCCTGAGTTGTACTATTAAACACCATTGTATTGCATTTTTAAAAAAATCAGTCTTATATGTAGCAGTCAACTTCTCAGATTCATTTCTACATTCAGGAACCACAAAATATTACAAGAATAAATTATACTGAAAGAATAAAGCAGTTTTCTAGTACAGAAGTCTAGATTGGCTTATAATTAGGGTGCCTTTTAACAAGGGTAAACATGATTATGGTTCTCTTTTTAGTAAGATAAAATTTTCATTTCCTCCTGTGCATCCTGCAGATATATTCCGGAGAGCTGGGGGAGTTAGATGTTGATTTGTAGCTGTAGGAGAACAAAGAAACTTCTATCACATAAGTGGACATTTATTCCAGCGGTGCTGTACTGATGCCTGTGGATTTGCATTAAGAATTGACCTCTCTAACATATGCATGATTGCTACTGGGCATTGAAAATAAATTTACATAGGTTCTTGAATCCTTCATTTTAAAATTCAATTCCAGGCAAATGAAACCAAAATTGTTTTAGAAATTATAGCAAATTTTTTTAAAATTGTTACAAAAGCATGTTTATCTTAGATCAATAAAAGCATTTATATAAAATGCTGGGTGGAACTGAGTTTTATCTAGCCAATGCTGAAATCCTTGTTTTGCTCAGTTGTTATAGATTTCAGTACATATATACTCCATTGAAATGAATAAAGTTCAATTGTGGTTAAATAGTACTTGTTTACCAATTTGATAAGATATTTTGTCTAAAATTAAAGTTCTTATTTTAGCTCAATCTCTAGTACTGAAGAGAAACCTTTTAAAATAAGCATCCATTTTAATATGGCACTATGTGAAAATTATAGCAGAAACCTACATAACTTATTTTCAAACTGAAATTGAAGGTACTTTGGTTTACAGTGCACCAAAGAATTTTTTTTAATAAATCTTACAGCATAGAACAGGGTTTGGAATGTGTGATCCTCCCAAAGTTGTTGAACTTCAAAGTTTGGCAGCAGGGCCTACAAGTAAGGGATGCGGGGAGTTGTTGTTTGATTTGGCATCATCTAGAGCAGTGTTTCTCAACCTTGGCAACCTTTAACCCCAAAAAACCCTCCCCCCCCCATCTCCCCCCGGGGAGTCTGGGGGGTTGTTTATTAATAGGTTTAATAATGCAAAGGTGTAGAATCACT